CTTTCCATCCAGAATCATTAAGAATAAACTAAATTTGGAGTACTATGTATAGTATTTAAGTTAGAAGGGTATTTATGTAACACTAGGATCCCACCAAATCAGAATTATTAATTTTCATTTTTATTTAAATTGTACGTTATACCTCCCAGTGGTATCAACAAATGAACATGTTGACTGTGTTTGGTTACTAGGCATGAAATATTAAGTAATACTGTTGAACAATGTTTATAAAATAGCAGAGAAGTAACCTCTATATCTTAATCAGAAAGTGCCATTCTTTCTTATATGTAGCATTTGATAAATAAGAATTGCTCTAAAATCCTAAGTTAATGTGGTTGATGAGATCACAGAAAAAATAACTCCATTTCCCAGGAGTAAATTAAGTTCAATAACAATGTAATTTAATCACTGCAACATTTTGCAGCCTGAAGCTAATATATATTTAAGTTGAGGTAAAAGTAGGAATTCTAAAGTATTGATTTTTGCTAATATATTTAATTTGTTTCATTTTCTGATAGATATAAATATACTTCTAATTCATATGAAATGTCTTTTTAAGAAGTTTCAGGATATGTTCTGAGCAAAATTAAGTTCACTGGGAAGTTTCAACATTCAAATTTCTTTACCTCAAAAGCAAATTGCCCTATAATTGAAAAATAACCAAAGACATTTATTTTGTTCCATCTTCACTTACTTGTTAGTAGTCTAAAGAACTCTGAAGTAAATGCAAGTCATCTTTATATGGATACAGTATTAACAAAGTAATGAAATTCTCAAATTAATTAAGGTCTTTTTGATTTCAAACTTTCTTGAAGATTTTACTTCTTAACAGAAATAGAGTTGCAAATTCAACATGGTCAAAAGACTTTAGGACATACACTCCATTTTCTAACTGGAGCTTCTTTTTATACTGAGTTTATGTTCATAGATTTCCAGAAAGAAATAAGAGCAAAGTTTAGCTAGTTAATATCCTTATCCAAGAAAGAGCAATCATATCAATGTTATTTCTAGGTTATCCAAAGAGAAACTTCATGGACCAGACTGTATAAATTTTTAGAGGAAGTTCTCTCCTTTCATTAGAAAACGTAAGAAAGACTAAATCAAAAGTACACATACCTTACTACCTGGATTCTAGAAACTATTTGAGATACAGTTTGGATTTCAGATAATGGAGTCTAGAATCCAAATATTAAATATTTGAAGCATGAGAGGCAAGAACAGAAAATACTTAAACCCCACACATATCAAAGAACACATATATTTCAAAGACATAAATGATAACAATTTAGTGCTGACAATTTTCTAAACAGCATCCAAGAATCACAATGTGCCCAATATAGTTTAATGAGATGAAGAAAGAAAGAAAGAAAGAAAGAAAGAAAGAAAGAAAGAAAGAAAGAAAGAAAAAAGAAAGAAAGAAAGAAAGAAAGAAAGAAAGAAAGAAAGAAAGAAAGAAAGAAAGATGGAGGGAGGGAGGGAGGGAGGGAGGGAAGGAGGGAGGGAGGGAATAATTTGCTAAGAGGAGGAGAAGTGAAATGTGACTACACATGTTTAATATTTAGAGTGAACAATAAGATTATTATTTAAAAAGAAAAGGTGAGAAAGAAGAGGGGAGGAAAGAAGAAAGAAAAGGAAAGGAGAAAGAAAGGGAAGGAAGAAGGGATAGAAGGAAGGAAGGAAAAAGGGAAGGAGGCAGGGAGGAAAGAAGTGAGGAAAGGAGGGAGAGAGGCAAGTATCCAGGCAGAAAAGCAGGCCAGCTGCCTGGCTAATGTCTACTCAGAAGAGAATTAAGAGAACCAAATTCGTAGCAAAAATGCATGAGAGAGAAAATGAATCCTCCATATTTTAAAAAAGAAAAACAGAAATAGGTCTCTTGCCTACCTATTGAAATAATTTATAATCATTGCTAGTGGATTTTGTTCTATGGACTATGGTGGTTGTTTTTTTCTATCATTTGAAGGTAATAATGTTCTACTCCGCAATTACAAATGACCCAGGAAATCACTAACAGAAGTACATTTTCTATTGTGTCCTGATTTGACTAAGTGAGATGAATTGCTCATTATGAAATAATGTATTTCAGGTACAAGTACTATTCCACTTGAGGATTAACTAGAGTTGATCAACAAGAGCCCCTGGATATAATATGGGCATAATTCGCAGTATGAAGGCTTAGACCATATGTTGAAGGTAGGGGAAAACCCTGTGTTCAGAGCAAAAGAATAAACTACAGAACCCTGTAATATTACTTCTAGCTCTATGATTCCATGAACCTTAGCCTAGAAATCATAATGTTTTCAGAAACAATCTACAGACGATGGCTATAACAACAATAGCAACAAACATGAAATGATGTGTTTCTGTGCTAACTGCAAAGGCCTGCTTAGGAAGAATACAAAACAATCAATTGTTCGTTACCTTGCTAAGTGAGAATAACAAAGGCAAAGAATAGCAAAGCCAAAAATATATCTGGCTCTGAGATATATTCTATGACACGTTTTTCTCCTTCAAATATCTTTTCTTAAACCAATATTAAAATTAGCATTCTATGTAAACACACAAGTTGATGAGAGACAGCCTAGAAATAGATAATAGAACAGAGAAAAGCAACCAAGAATTTAGGAAATTGATGTGCATAGAGTCACAAAGGGAAGATAATGTAGATTATTGGTAAAAGCATGAACTTAGAACTAAAACACTTAAACCCAAGACACACTCTCACCTTAATATCTAAGTGACCACTATGTCCTTTAACCAGAATGGCCTTGTTTCTCCATGAGGGGAGGAGGGTTGGGCTGAATAAACCATTTCTAACTATAAAAATTCATGAGTAATTTAAAGTCAACAAATCTTACACTCTAGATGAAAACCTAAATTTCAGAATTGTTGTATCATAGTACATAACTGAGCCACAAATACCAAAACAGTGTATCCTAAAATGTAATCACTGAAAGGAACAATGGAAAATATCCAGCCTATATAGTTAGCACACTGAATTGAGCACTAGATGAATTAATTAAATGGCTAAAGGTCACAGAACCAGCAGAGATTGGAAGATGGAATCAGAATTTTTCCTGCTTTTTTCCAATGCCTGTACAAGGACACTGAGTAAAATCTTTCTAGAAAATGTTAGAAAGATGGGATCTTAAAATAAAAGCAAAGCTGAGACATATATAATTCTCAGAGGATATCTACAATTGAAGATATATTAAAAGATATCTAGTCAAATCACTGATCTCTTTATGAGCATGATCTTAATGATTGATATTCAATTCATTTAAATTATCTTTACTTTATAAATTGCTAATAGAAACAAATAATTATGCAGTGGGCATAGGGAAAACATATCTCAATGGTTAGAAGTTAGAACTTCATAGGCCATAATGTATAAATAATAACATTTACTAAACAGTGAAAATCATGGAGGAATATGAATGTTAATCCATTTTGGAATATTATTTTGAGAAGTACTTATAATGACAAGCTATGATATAACAAGAAAAGTAGTATAGCTCCATTGCTCAGGCCTAAGATCTTCTGTCCATTAGATTTGATAGTCTGTCTTCCCAGTTATTTTCCCACTGGAATTTCCTCTGAATACACAATTAAGATGACCAAAGAAGACATCAGCATTATGTCTTGTCTGTCTTTGGGCTGATTTCATTTGCTTTTATTCCTGATGACTCAGGTACAAAGAAGAATAAATAGTAATTCCTTTAAAACATTCAAATGGTGGTGATCTGGACCCATTTTCCACTCAATAGGACAACAATATAGTTTGAAAAAGACCCAGCAAATAAAAGGTGCTAAGTTAGATGGTATAAGACGATATAATATAGACTCAGAACTGGATAAAAAGAAATGTATTTTGGGAATTCTAATACTAAGATTCCAAGTAATGAAACATTAAGTTTATGATTATATATACAGTTATATACGGATAGGTATAGATATACCTCCATATCCAAACGGAATGATAATGCTAGATTTATGCAATAAGTTTGAAGATAAAAATATCACAATGATCGATGACAAAATGATAAGTTTCTTGTGTAAAAACTTTAAGGCCATAAAATGTGATCAAGTGTGACTTGATCCTGTGTGTCAATTCATAGAATAAAAGAAAGGTTAGGTAGGAAAGCAAAAGGTAACTAGAATTTTTAACTTTTTTTTTTTTTGGTATCTATCATTTTTAAGGCAATATTACCATATTTAAAAAACTGAAGTGAAATGAAATGATCCAGATCTGGGAAGACTAATTTGGATCATTAGAACAAAGGAAAAACAGACAGGAAAGACTAACATAAAAAGAATCCCTTTTGTTCTAAGACGGGGGAGGACAGGACATCTGAATCATTCAAAGGACTCCTCATACTGTGACTCTGTCACTAAACCTTAAGGTAAAGTATGTAAAATACTAGAAATGAAGTGATGGTTATGGTTACACGTTATTTCACTGTCCATACTGTAGGCTACCACATTACTGAAACATAGTTCCACAGAAAGAAATTTAAAACCTCAAAGACTATCTTGAATGACAAAGAAAAAGCATTTTAAGTCAATGTGAAAGATTTTGAAGTGGTTCATATAAATGCCTGAGACTCATATTCATAGTATGAATCTATCAAGATTTTACTCTTGGGGAATACTCCCCACATTTGATAAAGACAGCCAAAAAAAGGTAGGATGGCATTACTAACTGGTTTTATCCCATTCCTTCCCAAAAGTTATGTATAACTAACATGTCCTATCACTTCTTTCATTCTCTTTATGGGGTATTTGACTATTTTAGAACAATTCTCTCAGTTTACACTCTGCACATAATCAACCACAGCAACATTCTTACCAAGTTTAACTTGTCAGTGTTGCCCCTGGTGCTCTTCAAATTCACCTAAGCCCTGGGGACTCATAGCAACATGACACAGGTCTCATCAACATAATAAAGTTCATCACAGGTAACTAAATACACAAGGATTCTAGTCCAAATAAGGAGCACTTACTTATGTCCATTTAAGGCTGCATGGTGTAAAGCAGTGTAACCCGAACTGTCTGTGCAGTTCACATTGGGGCCTCGCCAGATGCTGCAAATAAAGCACAAGTGTAGAGTTAACAGTTAAGCAGAGTCGTGCTTTGAAAAACAAAGAGAAGCCTGATAGTCCCACAGTCAGCAGCATGTTGCATATGAAAATCTTAGTCATGTAGAAAATGAATGCCATCTTTCATGCATCCTCCTTAGAACAATAATTTATTTGATGTAGGAAAATTATTAGGGAATATAACCACATTCAGAAATTATTAGTGAATGTAGGCCTACTGCCATGTATTAAAATCTGAATACAAAAATTCCTCATTACTTTATTTCATTACTTACATATCGGAAGCAATTAACACTCAGCTAATGTAGTCTATACCAAAGAATAAAGATTCAATGACACCTGCCTCCTCCCTTTTAACACAATCCTTCTGAGATGGCAGAGATTTATATAAGTTAAAAGGTATTTCTGTATTATGGGAAGAATATAAACTCATCTTGCTATTCAAATGCTCCCAAGAAACTAAGTATTTCATACTTGAAAATATAATTGAAGATTTTGACTGCTGTAAACCAGAAGATTCTAACAGTTCTAAAGTTATCATTTTACAGAACAACATATTTTAGAGACAATGTAACTATGTAAAACAGCCCATTTTATCCTGACACTATTACTACAGAAACTATTTTTAGCTTTTGAAAACATAAGGAATTGAAAGCCACTTTTTCAAAAGTAGATCAAAAAATTACTTTATTTGGCATTCATGACAATATTAAAGCCACCAAAACTAAGGTCTAGAGAGCCCCAGGGAAGGCGGTAGAAGAGGACCCTAAATTCACCACCTCCAACAGATACAGATAGATAACACTCAAATCAGCACAAATCACGTAGAAAATGATCCAAAGACTGGCAGAACAAACTCCACACCTAAATATCAAGGAGAGGTCACACGGAAGAGGGTAGGGTCTAGCCACCAGAGGGAGGGAGCTACAAACACAGGCATGTAGAGAGGTAAGAAACAGACTATCAACAGTGGAGAGCCTGCTCAAGGAAGACAAATCCCCACAGCATTTAGCTATGAAAATCAGAATGCTCGAATTTCATGAGTTTCTACAACCAGCAGGACTTAAAGCCTGGATCTTAATAATCAGTGGCAGGGCTCCTTGAGAGTAAGCACAAAGGGTAAAAGGAAAATGAGTCCCTGCCCTTAAAGAAACACGGAACAAATAGTTCTCAAAGATACAGCTTAGAAGCAGCAGTTTGAGAACCATCTGGAGTGCACAGGAGGGAGAGTCAGTTATTAATTTCAGAGTTCCTGAGGGACTTCTCCAGGAACAAGAGAGCTGGCAGGTGCCATTTCACTCCCCCAATCCCCAGAATGCACACAGCCATGTGCAGTGGCAGAAACAGCAGGGTGCAGACATTCACTACTTAGTGCTTACGATGCACCCTGCTCCCTTTTAAAGTCATACCTGCCTTAGTTCAGGTGCTGCAGGTCCCCTCTCCCAGAAGACCAGTGCAAATCTTGTCAACACTGCCTCTCCCAACCTCTCATGGAAGACAATGGCACCTTTTTTTTTTTTTAAGTGATTCCTTTTTTTTTTTTTTTTACAAATAGTTTATTGTCAAATTAGTTTCCACATAACACTCAGTGCTCATCCCCACAAGTGTCCTCCTCCATGCCCATCCCCCTCCCCCCCCCATCCATCAGTCCTCAGTTTATGTCAGCATTCAAGAGTCTTTCATGGTTTGCCTCTCTCCATTTCCCCCACCATTTCCCCCCTTCTTCTCCCCCTTGTTCCTCCGTCAAGTTCCTCCTAATCCTCCTATATGTGCAAACATATGATATTTGTCCTTCTCTGCCTGACTTATTTCTCTCAGCATAACACCCTCAAGGTCCATCCATGTTGCTACACATGGCCAGATTTCATTGTTTCTCATTAATGACACCTTTTTTAAAACTGCAACCCTCAACTGTGGAGTTCCCTTGCCAGCCCAGGTCTCAGCAGCAGCTACATGTTCCCTGTGGAGGAGGACAGGTGCCATCTCATTAAAAGTACACACCCTGCTCACTACTCTCAAGAGCAAGAGACTGCCTGGCATTTCTAACACTAGGAAACAGACACAGACAGGTAAAATAAGACAGGTAAAATGAGGATTATGTCCCAAATGAAAGAAATAGAGAAAATTACAGCAAGAGACATAAGCAAAATCGATATATGTTATTCCTGAAAGAAAATTCAAAGTAATGAGTATAAAGATACTCACTGGACTACAGAAAAGATTGAAGGACATCAGTGAGACCCTTAACACAGAGTTAAAAAAAAAAAAAACAATCAGAGATGAAGAAAATAGTAACTGAAGTGAAAAATATACTTGGGCACCTGGGAGGCTCAGTCCATTAAGGGCCTGACTCTTAATTTTGGCTTAAGTCATGATCCCAGAATTGTGGGATCAATCCTCACATTGGGCCTGATGCTAATCATGGAGCCTTCTTAAGATTCTCTCTCTCTCTTTCTGGATCTCTCCCTTGCTCATGTGCTATAACTCTCTCTAACATAAAAAAATATATATGCATTTATTAGAATAGGCTAGAAGAAGTAGAGGAATGAACTAGCAACCTGGAAGACAAAATAATGGACAGTAATCAAGTTAAGCAGGTGAGAGAAAAAAACTATACAAAATGAGAGTAGACAGTAAATTCAGACTCCATAATCATAATAATATTCTCATTAGAGGGATTCCAGAAGGAGAAGAAAAAAGGGGGGGCCAGAAGATTTATTTAAAGAAATAATAGCTGAAAACTTCCGTAATATGGGAAAAAAGGCAGAGAGTTCCCCAACAAAATCAACCCCAGGAGGTTTACACCAAGACACATAGTAATTAAAAGGGCAAAAAGTAGTGATCAACAGAGAATTTTAAAAGCAGCAGGAGAAAAGAAGACAGTTACATACAAGGGAAACCCCATAAGGCTACCAGCAGATTTTTCAGTAGAAACTTTGAAGACAAAAAGGGATTAATATGATATATTCAAAGTGCTAAAAGGGAAAAATCTAAACCCAAGAAGGCTCTATCCAGGGAGACTATCATTCACAATAGAAGGAGAAATAAAGAGGGGCGCCTGGGTGGCTTAGTCGGTTAAGTGTCCGACTTTCGCTTAGGTCATGATCTCGCAGTTCGTGGGTTCGAGCCCCGCGTCGGGCTCTGTGCTGACTGCCAGCTCAGAGCCTGGAGCCTATTTCAGAGTCTGTGTCTCCCTCTCTCTCTGACCCTCCCCTACTCATGCTGTCTCTCTCTCTCTTAGAAATAAATAAAAATTAAAAAAAAAAAAAAGAAGGAGAGATAAAGAGCTTCTCAGACAAACACAAAAAAACAAAAAACTAAAGAAACTGATGACCACTAAATCAGCCCTACAAGAAATATTAAAGGGGAAGGCATGCCTGGGTGGCTCAGTCAGTTAGGCATCCAACTCGGTTCAGGTCATAATCTTGCAATTTGTGAGTTCAAGCCCTGTGTCAGGCTCTGCGCTGACAACATGAAGCCTAGAGCCTGCTTCAGATTCTGTGTCTCCATCTCTTACTCATGCTCTGTCTCTCTCTGTCTCTCAAAAAGAAATAAAGTTTAAAAAATTTTTTAAAGAAATATTACAGGGGACTCTGAGTAGAAATGAAAGACCGTAAGTGAGACTATGAAAAGTAAAAAACACAAAAGCACTAAAAATAAGTATATTCGTATGATTCAGCCAAAGGATTCACAAAATAAACTGTTGTAAAATATAATACCATTTATGTAAAATGTACTGAGGAGAAGAATAAGGAAAAAATGGGTTCAACCTTAATCGGCCATCAACTTCATAGAGACTCCTATATGGAGGTGTTATATACAAACCTAATAGTAACCAAAAAATCAAAAACCAGTAATACACATGCAAAGAATAAAGAGAAAGGAATATCACTAAGAAAGCCAGTAAGCCATGAAAGAGAGCAGAAAGGATCAAACTACCAAAACAACTATAAAACAAATAACAAAATGGCAACAAATATCTATTGAAAATTACTTTGAATGGGGCGCCTGGGTGGCTTAGTCGGTTGAGCATCCGACTTTCGCTTAGGTCATGATCTCGCGGTTCGTGGGTTCGAGCCCCGCGTCGGGCTCTGTGCTGACTGCCAGCTCAGAGCCTGGAGCCTGTTTCAGAGTCTGTGACTCCTTCTCTCTCTGACCCTCCCCTGCTCACGCTGTCTCTCTCTCTCTCCTAGAAATAAATAAAAAATATTAAAAAAAAAAAAAAAGAAAATTACTTTGAATGTAAATGGACTAAATGCTGCAATCAAAGACATAGGGTGACAAAGCAGATTTTTAAAAAGATGAATCTATTTAGCACCTTACTAGAGATTCACTTCAAACCTAAAGATACCAGCATATTGAAGGTGAGGGGGTGGAGAAATATTTATCATGCAAATGGACATCAAAACAATGCTGGGATAGCAAGATTTATATCAGAGAAAATAGACTTTAAAACAAAAACTAACAAGAAACAAAGAAGAGCTCTATATAATCATAAAGGGAACATTCAACAAAAAGATATAAAAATTGTTTAATTGCACCCAACATGAAAGCAACCAAATACATAAAACAGTTAATAACAAACATGAAAGGAGATGCCTTGGTGGCTCAGTGGGAAAGCATCCTACTTCATGATCATCAGGTCATGACCTCACAGTTTGTGAGTTCAGGCCCCAATGTGCTGATAGATCAGAGCCTGGAACATCTTTCAGATTCTGTGTGTCTCTCTCTGCCCTTCCACTGCACGCTCACGCTCGTGCACACCTCTCTCTCTCTCTCTTTCTCTCTCTCTCTCAAAAATAAATAAACATTAAAAATAACAATAACAAACATAAAGGAATTGATAGCAATACAATATTAGTAGGGGACTTTAACATTCCATTTTTGTCAATGGACAGATCATCCAAATAGAAAATTAACAAGGAAATCATGCCTTTGAATGAAACACTGGACCAGATGGATTTAAAAATATATACAGAAAACTC